AGCATGTTGTTTTAGTATACATAACAATCAAAAAGAAAAAAAATTGTATATGTCCTCTGGACGGGTTCTTCTCTAATGAAACGTTTCGTCTCTCCTCCAAGAGACTTCTTCAGTCTGAGAGTTTCAGGCTAAATTCAGGCTTTTAAGCACTGCCTCCACTGCTTCCTGTATCAGTCACATGGAGGCAGGGCTTAAAAGCCTGAATTTAGCCTGAAACTCTCAGACTGAAGAAGTCTCTTGGAGGAGAGACGAAACGTTTCATTAGAGAAGAACCCGTCCAGAGGACCTATACAATTTTTTTCTTTTTGTTTTTAAAAAATATATATTTTTGTGTTGATAAGCCTGAGTGGTCTGTTGACTGACCTCTGTATTTGTTCAAACAAATGTTATGGGCAGGTTACAATATAAAAATGTTTGTCATAATCATGCCTTGTGATTATTTAACAGGAGTTTTCCTTTTAAACTGTAAGTGTATTTAATTTAGTTATAATATAAATACAATAAAAATTAAACAAAGATTTAGAATAATTATCATTTTGATCCATTCATTGTTATTGTCTGACTGGGCCTCGTGCCACTTTATGTTCAATAAATTGGGCCCCGAGGTCAAAAAGGTTAAGAACCCCTGGTTTACATCAAGCCTGCAAGCAGTGGAAGGTATTTTTGGTATTGGATTGATACCACCCCAACTTCTCAGCAATGTTTGTAGTTTGTAGTCTTAAACCAGCAATAGTTGGGGTCACATATCTCTGCTACTACAGGTTTAGTCAAAAGCATCTTATATCCAGCTGCTAACAGCTGCATGTTGATAAAGAGGCTTCCTCACCTTTGGTATATCTCCTGCAGGGTGTCCCGGGTGAATGCCGTCCCGTCCTGGAAGACGTTATTAAGTGCATGCAGTGCACAAAGCTCCCGCCGCTGCTTCTCATGATAAATGGCTGGAGGTGTCAGAGAACTCTGAAGAGGTGCTGGGAGGGTGAGAAAAGAAGAGGAAGAGTGGAGATCCTGCTGCCGCTGCTGAAGGTCCCTGGGATCTCTACACCTCTTCTCCTCTGCACCTACTTCTCCTCCTGCTGCTTTTTGCTTGCTGACCTTCCAGGGCATGCAGCCCAGCTCCTGCAAGCTGCCCCGGCCCTTCTCCTTCCACTCACCTGCAGGATATGGAGTACTCCCCATACCTCGCAACCAATTCCAGCTCCACTTCTACCTCCAAACTACCACCTTTAAGATGCTACATTGATATCAGAACAATCCTTCCCATGGCAAGTGCTCTCGCTGCTGTGTACACTCTCTGCACAGTAAATGAGCAAGGCCAGTTTTCTCAAAAAGAAAAAAAAATACCAGGAAAAAATTGTCGAATAAAAATTTACAGGTGCTCCAAAATATAAAAATAAAATTCTCCACAGCAATGTCATTAATCAAACTGTCGTCGCTCCCTTATTCCTTTCCACTTCCTCCATCCTCTGTTTGTGAGGCGTTAGGATGTTCAAACGATCACTGAGCCCGGAGTGCTGCAGGTCTTTCCATCACCGGACCTCTAACTCTGAAGCTTTCATTTTACAAAACTTTAATGCTGAGCAGAGGCGGACAAAAGATCAGGACCCTCCATAATTTCTTCATGATCTGAAATGGATGAAAATGTAGTCAAACAAAACTGTGTCACAGTTTCTTATTAGAACTTCTTATAACTTTTAAGTCTTAAAAGTACATCTTTAAGTTAAGGAATTAACCCCGGTTCTCTGAAACATGAGTGAGGTATCTCACTATGGGATATAGCAACTCCTGTATTGCCAGATAAGCTTAGTCGAAGAACAACAGATACGTCCCACATTTCTCCAGACATGGAGCCTACACCCAGAACTGTATGGGCCAGTGTGGGCATCTTAACATCCAGTCTATAGAACCTGGTGAAGGTGTTGCCCAGCAGTCAGCCTCACATACAGCGGTTAGACAATGAAAGTGAAACAGCTGTCATTTTAGTGTGGGAGGTTTCATGGTTAAATTAGACCAGCCTGGTGGTTAGTCTTCATTAATTACACATTGCACCAGTAAGAGCAGAGTGTGAAGGTTCAGTTAGCAGGGTAAGAACACAGTTTGGCTCAAAATATTACAATGCACACAACATTATGGGTGACATACCAGAGTTCAAGAGAACAAATTGTTGGTGCACGTCTTGCTGGAGCATCTGTGACCAAGACAGCAAGTCTTTGTGATGTTATCAAGAGCCACAGTATCCAGGATAATGTCAGCATACCACCAAGAAGGACCAACCACATCCAACAGGATTAACTGTGGAGCAACAGGAAGCTGTCTGAAAGGATGTTATGGTCTAAAACCAGCTGTTTCACTTTCATTGTCTAACCCCTGTATGTTCTCCACAGGTATACCCTGAAACAACGCCCAGGATGAGGCCAAACCATGAGTGGAACAAGACCGCAGACCTACAGGGGGTGCAAGGCCTCTGGTCTCATAATGGCTGTGTATTGGCAAGAATTTGGCGATAAAATACATATCATGACAGAGGGGACACGATACGATATATCCCGATAAATTTCGATACTGTAAGCAAGGCGATACATTGCAATTTTTTTGTCCAAAAATTCTATTAAATAAAAACCTCTTACTGGAAAAAAATGAAAAACCAAAATTCATTGTCTCAGAGAATTCTAATATTACAGACATACTTTTGATACATTTAGCTGTGTTCTGCTTTGTATGTGTTTATTTTATTTGTTTCATATTTCATCCATGTTTTCAATTATTAGACTAAATTTGCCAATAAATAGTTTGAAAATATACAGTATATTTGGCAGCTTTTAGTTTTTAATATTAATTTACTATAACAACATGATCACCCAACACTTAACAAAAGCCTTTATGTTGTCATAAAGTTCAGTAAACAGATGATATGAAGCTGCTGCACACAGAGTTTCTGGGATCAGCTGACCTGCATCCAGAACAT